GGGTTGTGTGTCGCTCGTGTCCTTCCACACACAGGTGGTGGAATCGTTAACATAACTTTTAGCTACTTACAGGAAAATCCGATTAAACTTGCGGATTATTCTGTGTATGTGCCTATCAAGGCGCTGCCTGGATCTACCTTTTACCAGGAGCACCACATATTACACACAGACTTAATACACTTTTGGCCCAGAATCAGAGTCAGGAAAGCAAAAGTCGAAAGCAACTTCATTTTCCCCAAGAAAACGCACTAAACAAACTTTGTCTCCCCACTAGGGTCCACGCCTTGCCTCTCCGTCGCTCCCTCTATGTAGTATACATATGTATGTACATACATATATCTACATTTCTGTATACATATACATATTCATGTATAAAAAAAAGCCTCATTGACTCGACAATACAGCAACAACAGAATCCAAACTTTTGCCACAAGTTTTCAGCTCTAGCTCTATGGCAGGAGAGAGAGAGAGGGACCTGAAATGGAACAGGGAGAAGCACAGGGAGAGGAACACATTGAGTGGGTGGCTTGAGGGGTACATGGAATAGAGCTGCTCGTTGGAAAAGTTACTAAGAAAATATGTCTACACTTGCCGACGACATCCGCTTTCCGTTTTTGGAGACGTCGTCAGAGCAGGAGACTCGACTCAACGCAGCGTTGCGGCCAAAAGCGTGTCAGGAGCATAAAGGGGAATGAACAATAAGTGAGGGGTGGCAGGAAGGGCAGGGCAGGGTGCGGAGTGCCGCAACAGGAGGTGTAAGTAGCGGAGAAGACCCGATGTTACAAAAGCTAATAAAAGCACGGGCACAAACCCACTGAGAGAAAGCAATAACAGGCAAAGACTTAAGCAAAATTATAGAAAATCTTTACATTTTCTTACAGTGTAGAAAAACTCTTTTGTGCGTGTGTGCGTGTGCGCGTATGTGTGTGTATTTTGGGTTCGTTCGCAGGACACACGCATTCATTGTGTCTCATTTGCGAGTGGGGCAGCAACATTGAATGCAAATGGCGCAAATTCAAATTACAAACCAACAATTTCCGCAAAATGTTACTCTCCTGCAGCCACACACACACACACACACACACACACTCTTTGTTTCCTCTCATGTACCGTTAATTGCATGTTTTATGAGTGGGTGAATGGGTTGGTGGCCACCCGATAAGTGCCGCTGCTTCTGCCACTCGCATTAAACGGGAATATCCCCCTTTAATTTATTTGTTTCTTTCATGTTTTGTTCTTGATTTTATGTTGATTTCAACATTATTTGTTGCATCAACAAATTGTGCCAAAAATTTCAGGTAAAAGATACACAACAAAATGTGTGCCTGGAAATCTGGCAGAAATAAATGATAAATACATTTTCCTGTTTTTCTTTCCGACTCGTTTCTACATGCTCCTCCTCCCTGCTGTACAGTGAACCTGTTTATTTGGCTTTTCTCTTGGCATTTCTTTTGCCTTTTTCCCGAAGCAATCTCAAGTGCTTCATCTGCTCTCTCCCTCTTCCACACAGACACAAACAGGGACGGAGACAATCCGGGTTACAGGAGGGAAGACGGTAAGACGACAGACAATAACCATAAATGGTATTTCATTATCAAATAAATTCACAAGAGAAGTAAAGATTCTTCTACAAAATCGAAATCAATAACCGCCTCTTGCCACACCTACTCGTCCTCTCCTACTCCCTCTCCACTTCCCCACTTCCCCACTTCCGCTCTGTCTGTATGTTCGCATAAGCCGCTTTTGCCGCTTCCTCTGTGGTATGCACTCCCCCCGTTCCGTTTAAAGAGTGGAAAACATGAAACCCAATAGGGCGCAAGTGTATGAAAAAATTTACATTAATTTCAATATGCCACAGGAAAAAAATAAACAAAAAGAAACATGTGAAAATGCTAGAGACAAGGATAGAAGTTGATCTACGAGAAGTTACCCTTCTTTAACCCAACAAATATGCAGAAAGATAAGTTTAAGTTCTCATAGAGATGCAAATTTAAAACTCGAGAAAATAAGTATTTCGAATTAACGATAAAGTGTTATATGCCCGTACAGACTTTTATACAAACTGTTATATGGATGCAGAAACTGTTCTACTCGTGTACAAAATATTTTCTTGTTTGTAAACTTTAATCCGTTTTAATGTTGCTTTACTTTCCCAAACGCTTCTTTTTTTTGCCATAAATAATTTCATTGCTATGCAATTGTAATAAAACAGAAAAAGTCTGCTCCTGTCGTGCATAATCGTTACTCTTTATGATGTGGTTACATAATTGTACACATAACCAATACCCCCTTGGCAGACCACAACAGGGCAAACCAGTGGGCATCACAGCTAAACGGAGAAAAAACAAGCCAAGGAACAATTTCTCATCTTCATTTCCATAGTAAAAAAGCCAACCTCGAAATTTGCATGGATCCGACATGCTCCTCAGATTGGTTGGCCCCTAGCCCTAGCCCTCCACCTACCAAAAATGAGAAGAGTAAACTGTGGATAGTCTCCCCTCCCCATACGTCTTTCTGCCCACTGGTATCGCTGTTATTCCTGTTGTTTTTGCTGTTGCTGCTGTGTCTGTTACAGAAAATTACGAATAGGCCTGTAAACAATGGATGTGTGTGCTGTGCTGTTGTTGTTGTTGCCGTGCACAACATGAACGTAATGCACATTGAGGAGCTGTAGCTAGAGCAGAATCGAAGGTAGAGGGGAAAAGGCTAGGGCTCCACAGACCCCAGACCCACACGAGAGACGGGGACAGCATGTCTAACGCGTTGGTTGACTGTGCCAATTTTGGAGGGTTGACGGTTCGTTCGTTATTTTTTTGTGTTTTTTTTTCTGGTTCTGCTTGTTGTCGGTAGTTGAAGGGCAAAGCAGAGTTTGTGTAATTTTTTTTTGCACAATTTTCCCTGTGATTCGTTGTTGTTTTCTTCGTTTTCTTTGCCATCCCATGCATACGCAGCACCGCGCACAGTTGTTATGGAAAATAAATTGGCTGAGCTTATTTGGTGGCACAGGTTGTTCTGATGGTAGCGAAATATGACAAGGACGAGGACGAGCAGGAGGAGCATTGGTGCGGGAGTCTGGTAAAGAGGCGACAGGCCAAATAATAGAAAAACAAACTCTGAGCAAATTGATCCGTTAAAGCTTCAACTATCTACACATTTTTCCCATATACAATTTCCAATCAACATTATTTCCCCCTTAACCTTGACATTAACACACTCCGTGTACATATTGCAGGGCTACAACTGCCGCCGCCACCCCTCTGTGCGGCCCATTCCAAGGTGTGACAGGCCGACAGTCGCCTGTCTGGCTGGCAAATCCCAAATAGACTTTATAATTGGGCAGGGGCTAGTCTCTTTTTCCTCACGAAATATCTTGGCTTGTACGTTCCTGGCTTTAGAAATGCCGACGGCATTTACTTTTCAGCTCCCACTTCCTATCTTTCTGTATCTCCGCCTCTCTATTTTGTTTGGAGTGTGTCGTCTCGTGCCATTTTATTGTTTGCTTTTAGTTAAATCATTTCCTCGCGGGCGTTCTTATTTTATCTTATTTGTTGGATTTTTATTAGAGCGCCACATGAATGCTTTTCAGTCCTCCGCCCAACCCATTGTGCCACGGGGCTTCTAGTTGCAGCTCATTCTGTTTGCATTTTTGATTTCCTTGCATATTTTCACATTGTTTGCTGTGGCATTGCATTTCACAGAAAGACATGCACAGAGAGGGGGACAAAGAGATACAGTGCTCGACTCGTCTGTGTGTATTTTGCATATTTTGGCACCCAACGACACAGCAACAACAAGAACAACATGAGCAAAACATTTTGAGGTCTTCAATTAAACAAGAGCTTTTTAAATCGATACTTTGGGGCAGACAGACAGACACACACACACACACACAGTTGGAGAGTCCCTCGCATGGAGAAAATCTTTTGAAATATTTGGAAATATCCTATAGCTGACATTAAATGTTTTCCCCCGCAGCTATCCGATTTTCCACAGGCTCACACAAACACAGACAATAAACACAGGAGGAGATTTCGTGGCCAGTTTTGGGTTACAGTTTTCCTGCAGTTTTCACTTTATTTATTTACTTTACCACATTTATTATTTTGAAAAATTGCCTTGTCTGAAAATCCCTCAAAGCCTTGTTTTAAACCATTTAAATGCAGGGGGAGGGGGTGAAATGTTGAGGGGTTTTATGTTATTTTTGATTTAACAAGCTCACAAAAACTGACGATCAAAAGTATTCAATTATATTTAGTTTCAATGAGGGAAAATAGCTGAAAGATTTAATCTATTGCAAATTTTGTGCTCAAATCAACTTAATTACAGCCTGTTGGCTGCACACAGAGGAATGTATAATAGTTGATATCTCATATCAAGGGAATCTGTACAAAATTTCGTATTTTTCCTGCCCATTGGTTTTTGTCTATTGCTGGAAAAGTTGCTCTGTTCCATTCGGTTTGGGTTTGTGTCATTTTCCTTCATCTTCTACTATTACTTCGTCTGCGTTTATTTTCCCTGCTCCTTTTTCTGCTTTTGCTGTTTTTTGTGTGTTTCTTGGTTTTTTTGTTGTTGTTGTATTTTTTCTCCTTTATTTTTTTGTTTTGTTTAATTGACTTGAAAACCAGTTTTATTTGTTTGCAAGCAGCAAAAAAGGCAGCAGCAGGCCGCAGCAGCAACAAGCATTAAAAGCAAATATAAATTGTGTGCCGCACTGCTTGTTGGGGCTGCATGTCTCCTGCTTCGTTGTATACCCTCGAATACATTTCCATCCGAAATTCGTTGGGAAAAGTTTATTTAGCTGTTCCCTCTTTCCCTCTCTCTGTATCTATGCTACCTCTCTTTTTCTCTGTCTGCTTTGGTTTTAATCTATGCATCAATATAGCACACAAACCATATCGCATTTCAAAGGGTATCAAAGTTTCGATAAAGTTTGCCAAGCCATCTCGCCGCTGTTACCTCTTTTTCGTCGCGCACACAAACACAAACATATACACAGCCACAGATAGAGAGTGAGAGAGTGGGGCTGAGCGAGAGATGGTTGGCTGCGCTCTTTTTTCTTATCATAATGCGATTATTTTTGGGCTGCGTATAAAAATAAAAGTATAGAACTTTTATGTGTGTGTCGGCCACTCTCTTCCTCTGCCCCTTTCTATGACCGACTGTGGTCTGTCTTTCTGCTGCTGTGTGCACGTGTGTGTGTGTGTGAGAGTGTATGGTAGCGTGAGGCGAGCCAGCTCAAAAGTTAGCGGAGCTTTAAACTCGTTATTGCCCGTGTGTGTCGCTGCTAACCAGCTTCATTCTTCTCTCCATCATTCTTCTCTCTCCTGAACATTCAACACACTCCCTAGCGCTCTCTCGCTCTCACCCCTACAATGATGCTGAGAGTCTGCTCTGTTCTTGTTTTTCGGACCCTTCCCTCTGCCTTGCCTTATTTTGTTCGATTCTTTAATGTTGCTTTTAATTAGAAATTAGTTCTGCTTCATTAAAATTGTTTTTGTTTAATGTGCAAAATGCTGCTGCTCCTAGAAAAGAGAGAAAGAGATGGAAGCTGCTAGACTGAGAGGCGAGCAATATCTGCTAGAGAGAGATATTAGACAGCCGTCGCTTTGGACATTTGTTGTGATTAATTAAGGCAACATAATTTGATTTTATTTTTTACACTTAGTGTTTCCCACTTTTTTATCGCAAGAATTTGTTCACCTTTTTTTTTTGTTTGTTGCACATGGAGCGTGCGTCAAATGCGCTCGCCATGTCTAATTTATGCAAATTTAATTGCCGCCAGACATTTTAATGAAATTGAAATGGGCCTCCACCACCAGCCACCACTCTTGATGGAGGTGAGCAGGGCATTGGGGCAAGATGGAGGGGAGCGTGTTCATCGTGGGGCGTTGCCTGGTTTGTAATTTTTGTATAATTCAAGATTCTGGGCCACAGATTGCAAATTATTGGGGTCAGAACGCCTTGATTTGAGAAAACTTGGGCACATTTTTTAGCAACGTTTAATTAGCGATAATTCAACGATTATAATAGTTTCACAAAATGTCTTGCCCATTACAGACAATTAGTTTAATCTTTAAAGTTAGCCAACGTTGAAATTCTGCGAGTCTAGTGATTAACAATCATTTTAAAATCATAAAAAAAAAACACAATTCAATTACCTGGAAAAGCATCGATTATGTATAATAGTTTGGGAAATTGTTTTGCGTTCATCGAGAGCGGAAAACGTGGGAATTTTCGAAAAGTAATGCTGGAAACAATGGTTCTCACTCTCTGATCAACTTTAGCAACGTTGTGAAATTGTTTATTTAGTTGAATTTCTCAACAAAAGCATTCCATAGTGTGTAAAAAGTTTTACAACTTTCGACGCAGCAGGAAATTCTGTTTCATAAAGTTAGGCAATTTTGCCCGACCAATTAGGGAACCGTTTCAATAGTTGGTTATGCATTTATATGATTTTTATTGTAAATTTGGCAACGTTGCTTACCCGCTAGGATCATCAAACATGACAACTTGACCTGTGAAGTTTGGCAACGGTGCCGACCAAATGATTGTAAAGTGTACACAGATCGTTGGCATACAAATTATTCTCCTTTGCATTTCGCTTTCCCGTTCAGCACTCAATAGGCAATTATTTTGACCTCTGAAGTTTGACTGCGTTGCAACGGGCAAAAGTAGACTCTACTCTGCACATTTCACCTTTGAAGTGTGACAACAGTGCAACTGCGAATGACTTCGGAGATCACTTAACAGACAAATTATTGCACCTTCCGTCGCCCCTCCGACACAACAGCTACCGCTACAAAGCAATGCCAACTCCCAAGGGGCTCGTCACCTGGCCCACCACAGGCATCCAATCCTCATGACTCGCACATTAGGATTTAATCACTAATTAAATATCAGTTAAGATATAAGCCATGCCCATCCGTCCATTCAGCTGGGGCGGATTCGCGGCATCGCCTCACACACCCACACACACACACACATACGCACTCAAAGGGCGGAAGAAGAGAGGTATCTTGCCAATTTCATTTAAAAATGCTTTAATTTTCCTGCCTTAATTATTTTCCCGCACTCAGCGTCTCTCTCTCGCTCTCTTTCTTCGCTATTGATAAATATTTCTTGCTGTTATTTATAGGATTTCCTTTAGTTGTTGTTGCCGCTCCATCGTCCGTTTCATTTCACTACGTTTTATTTCTCGCACAGTGGTTCACACACCTACAAAATTGTTCTCATGGAATTCTCTCAACAATTAGTCGCACTTTCCACACTCTCTGCACACTGTGCGCGCGTTCTCTGCGTGCAAATGTCGTTGCAAAGAGGAAGAAGAAGAGGAGCATACGCTAAACATCTTTAATTGTTGTTGTTGTCCGCTATTTGAACTCGCTCTCTCTCACACACACCCACACACAAACACACACATTCTTTACTGCATTTTTCGACACTTGCAAGGGAGTGAAAATTCACTTTATATATTTTATTGCGGCTAATACTTACAAATATATTTTTACGCCATGAATTATCCACAATCGCTATCTGTTTAATTATTTGTTTAAACTCTGCATCAGCTTTCGTCACTTTGTTTACGCACCACTAATCTCTGCTTTCGGCTGTAGCGTTTTGCCGTCGGCGTTTCGTTTTTTTCAATTTATTTTCTCGTTGGTTTTTACGTTATTCCGTGGATAATATTTCCGTGGGATCGAACGAACTCACTCAAAATTTCAACAATAATCATCCGTTGCTTCATAGCGTCACGTTGGTTTATTTTTTCGAGTGGGGTTTGGGCGGCAAGGCCGTTTCAGTAGAAAAAATATGTGGCCCGGACACAAGTTGCTAGAAACATGCTGACGGCAGGGTAGAAAACAAAGTATGGACACCAGGCAAAACGGAACAGAAAATTCAACGCTGGCAAGCTAAATTCCACCGTAGCTTGTAACATGCCATGTTTTTACTCAAATATGCGCTTGAAGTGTGAGTTTCGCGTGGCTGACTCAATACAAAGAAAAAACCGGTTGTGGTGGCAAGATTCAAATCGTCCGCAAGGTATGTGTACAGAGAAATGGAGATATACAAAACGCCTGGCAACAACCAAGAAGAAGCTCTACCTCGTTATCTATACATTCCCTGCCAACGCCGTCTAGCAACATGCGGATGTTTTCTTTGGCAACATTTCCGACAAAAGCCGAGAGACCGTGGAACATGCGACTAAACGACCGACAGAGCGACCGACTGAACGACTGACTGACTGACTGTGAGATATGAAACGCTTTTGTTGTTTTGGCTGTCGGAACGTCTGTTGGTCTGTCTGTCTCGCTTACTCACCGGCCCGCCGACTGTCTCACGCTCTTGCTCTTGCTCTTCTCTCGAGCGAACAAACATGTCGGGCACACATTTCTGTGTGTGTGTATGTGCGTGTCGTGTATTGCGCCATCGCCAAGTTGATTTTCTGGCCCCCGCGTGCAGCTGTGTGTGTGCATGGACGTGTACGTGCACGGCTGCGGCTCTGGCTGCTGGTTATATGTATGAATGTGCTCCGTGCACATTTTCGTTTGTTTACAGTTTTTCAGTTTTTTTTATACGAAGCATATCATCACTCTTTGAATCATTATGAGCTAAAGGTTAGCTTTAAATTTACAGAGTTTAAATGTTCCTGTATTCAAGGTGCGTTTCTTATCTTATCCACATTCGCGCTATATTCGCTTCTATAGCACTCGCATAAACTATTCCCAGACTCCATAAGGACGAACGCTGGCTTTCTAAGGGTATTCAAAGAACGTCTATTTGCTCTTCAGCTTTTCGCTTTTACCCAGGTTATGTTTTTCATTGCGTTTGATTGTTTTAAATTGAGATTTGTGTGCCAAAAGCGGCGCTGCAGCCGCGCAGTTGTCATTCCTCTTTGTTGTTGTTGTAGCGTGGACTGGACGGTGTGCAACATACGAAAATGTACAATAAATTGTGGCCACAGGAGTAATCTACGAACTTTTTCGGTCTACGCGTTGGGTACTTTCGTTCTATCTGCTGGTTATTTCCATTTTTGTTGTCTTTTGCGTGTGACAAAACTAATTGTTTTTTTTTGTCTGAATGGGGGTGCCCACGGCACTATTGGGGCAGTGGGGTTTGTGGTAATGAAGCAAAAGTTTCTGATTAGCTTTCTTGTTCCGGACACTTCACGGCAATCGGCGGCCATTTGGCATGGCTCTCATAAATTACGTACTAACCCAATTAGGGATCGTCTAATTTCTTTATGGTGCGCGTACACGTCAAAGCGTGGAGTAAGTCCGTGTGTGGATGAGGGGAGCAATGCACCCTTTGAAGTTGTAGGAGCTAGAACCACCAAGTGAAGTTAGGCAACCATGGTGGGGCTCGAGACACAATGAAAGAGGTGCATTCAATGGCAGAAGAGCCGCCGAGCCCCTCCCCCCATTCAATCATTTTTTTTATTAATTTTTGGTTCTGCTGTTTTTGGGTGTGAAGAAGTTTGGCAACGTGGCAGGAGGGGTGATACTCGATGACCTTTGACGAAATCCAAATGCTTATAGCCTCAAGGTCGATCTCCCCTGCATAACAATTGAGTGTGGGGCAACTCCATTCATGTAAGTAGACCGCAATTGTGCCGCAGGCTGCATCCACAATGAACGATAAATGTAATAGAGACACACAGAGAGAGACGCCTCACACACGCACACACACGATCATATTGTTGCCTTAATCAAAGAGAACAAAATTGATTGCATTCTCGACAAGCCGAACGACGAACGATAAGCGAAGCAAATAGCGACAATCCATAAAGATATGTTCCCTCTCCCCCACCAACAACAATACCCAACGAAAGGGGAGACTAAAAGCCTCAAGGGCCGAGTCCATTGATACCCTTGGCACGTCATCGTTTCCATGGCAGCTATGCAACCCTTTTGAAATTTCAAATCCGTGATCAAAACCATAATACCCTGTGCAATCATAACAATAACCACAACATATACAACCATAGAGAGAGAGAGAGAGCGAGCCGAGTCGAGTGGTATAAAAAATAGAGAAGAGAAAGAGGAATTGCAGGCAAAACTATAAATAGCGAAATAATGTGATAAGCGCGCACACATGAAAGCGACAAGCGGTATTGTGCCCATTACATTACCACATGGGTAGCGAAGAAGGTACAACTGCGAAGGGGGGGTGAGTGGGG